ACTTTGACAACTGTTGACTTGCATAAATAACTGAGCTGATAAAATATAGAGATAATGAAACACAAAAATTAAAATCTGAAAAGGAAACTGTATGAAAAACATATGTAAAATTTTGATAAGTAAAATGTAGATAAGGTAATGTCCAATACTTGCTTAAATAATGAAATAATTCAAAGATATTTCATGGCTGCTGTTTAAGATGGTGTAACAAATACAAGAAACTACAGAAAACCTGAAAGAAAGTGAACACTATTTAGGCAGAAACTGCCACCTACACACAGAAAACACTGATCCAGCAATTTCCAGGAGATGAATAGAGACTAGGCATGAATATGCGAAGAAATATGATGTTAAATATTTGCATTCAGGATTGTGTCAACAGAATAATGGTAGATTACCAAGAGATGACAGATCTATTACATGACACAAATATGAATATTAATAAAAATACTGAAATAAGACATAACATTTATTGGAATCTCCAGTTTAACTTGTAAAATAGGCGAAGAATAAAGAGACCATAACAGGGTGTGGTTTTGGCTTTTTGGAATATGCCACATGGAATGTTGAAGTCATACATTTAACTCCAGCCATGAAAATCTAAGGAAAAGAGGACATATTGTTGATTAACAAGGAGGCAAACACAATGTACTGACATTGTCATATCACTAAATAGAATCTGTAAATAACAGTACAATTATTTAGGGAGAGAGATGGCATTTGAATGTAAATACTCATTGGTTCATTTACTAATGCTTTTATCAGGTGTAGAGTTTATACAGGTGTACCAGGAGTTTGGTGCCATACTTCAGAAGTGTACTAAGGGTTCCCTATAGAATAACTTTGAAATAGGAACCCATGTCTGCAAACATAAAATAGCAGCACTAGGGCGGCATTTAAAATCATTTCATTTAAACTTGGCGCCTCAATGTCGAACTGCATTGCAGAGAGGAAGAGCCATCCACCAGCCCTTGTGCCATTGCCTAGGTTATGGGGACATCAAAATCAAGTGTTTGGAGGATACTGCACGACCAACAACTTTATCTGTATCATTCAATGCGAGTACATGACTTAGGTCCAGCTGACTTTGTACCACAAGTTCAATTTTGTCAGTGGATACTGAACCAGTGTTTACATCAGCCCAACTTCCTGAATCATGAGTTAATCACAGACAAAGCGCAGTTTACAAGGGATGACTGGTTCAACTGTCGAAACAGCCATGTTTGGGCTGACAAAAACCCCAACGATTCTGTAGTTGGTTACCACCAGGTGCAATTTTCTGTCAATGTCTGGGCAGGCATCATTGGTGATCACTTGAATGGGCCTTTCCTCCTACCACCGTGACTCAATGGGCCCTCTTACAAGGTGTTCCTGGAATTTATTCTTCTGACTTTGCTAGAAGACATGCCACTGATTGTGCAGAGGAAAATGTGGATACAGCACGACGGAGCGCCGGCACACTTCAGCATTGTATCACGAGACTACCTGGATGCTGCTTTTCATGGTCATTGGATAGGAAGAGGAAGCCCAGTGCCTTGGCCACCCCGATCCCCAGACTTGACAGCTCTGGACTATTTCGTCTGGTGCTATGTGAAAAGCCTGATTTATGACATGCCTGTGGATAATGAATGTGAACTGTTGGCCAGAATACTTGTTGCATGTGACGTGATCCGTGAGACACTTGGAATATTTGAAAGGGTGTGCCAAAGTTTCTTTCGTTGATGTAACGCATGCATTGAAAATGGAGGGCGCCAATTCCAACATCTACTCTAGCATCTGAGTCTTAAGAGTTTGGAAGGGGTAATATGTCTGTGCATGCTCTTCGACATTGAGGCGCCAAGTTTAAACAAAATGATATTAAATGCCGCCCTAGCACTGCTGTTTTACGTTTGTTCCTATTTTAAAGTTGTTCTGTAGGGAACCCTCAGTACGCTCCTGAAGTATGGCACCAAACACCTGGGACATTCTGTATAGCACTACATTAATGAAATGCAGGACAGTTATGGAATTGAGGACCACACTTCTCCATTGCTCTTCCTACTTACCCGGTTTGTCCCCTCTGCAGATCACTTCATTGTTTACAGTTATACTTTTGATTGTAGGCAAAGGAGGTTTCAGGGAAGAATCTGATTTGTACGTGGGAAACTCTAACTTGTACTGGATGTAATACTTTAACCCTGTCCGGATCCTGTTCCACTCTTCATACAGATTATTTTTCAGCCCAAGAAATCCCTTGGTCATCTGCAACAAATTTTCGAGCATGTTGAAAACTTAATTTCTCATTCATAGACCACCCTTCAGTTGAAAGAGTACACCTAATAAATTAGGTTGGAAGATGAGGTATATGATTTAAAATATGTGAGAGAACCAGTACTAGGACCTCAAGGGTATTTAAATTAGCATTATGATATGGTGAATATTAATGGTGTGGCAAAGTGTTTAAAAAATAAATAGCTCTGTAAAAAGTACAAAAATTGACACTTAAGTCCAAGAGTAATATGTGACTTCAGACAATGTGACATAACTCTGCAATATTATTACAAGAGTGAAGTGTATATATCAGTTTTCAGATGAGATATTTCACAGCAGTGATAGAAGTTTCTCATATTTCCCATATTTATGTATATGTATGTGTATCACATTTAGAAGAATAACAGATTATTGGTTTGAGACTGTACTATGTTTAAGTACGTTACAAACAGTTCATTTGAACTTACCATGTTTTGTTACCTTATGCATGAATTCATTGGTCTGCTAGAATCAGTATACATAGGTAGCAAATAGTTAACATCACTGAAATTTTATATGTAGCTTTTGAGAACTCGGCAATTATGAAGAGCCATCAACTTTCTCAGTCCAAGGCCTATTTGATCTATTATCAGTATTTCCATTTGTTACATATTTTAATGAGCAGTTTTGTTTCTTAGGTTGATATTTAAGAATCTCTTCTGAGGATTCTGTTTGAACACAATCTTTCAATAAGTTCTTTCTACACCTAGTGCAGTATTCTATAAATTCTGTATTTTCATTAGATCAACAGAACCAGACTAGTCTTAAAAATATAAGACATTTATGCAATTGAATTACCAAAGGTACAGTTCCTGCAGCATACATCTCAACTCTTATGTCAACTGCAACAACAGGATAAGGGTTTGGAACATTGATTATTCCATGCCACTCCCCAGAACTGCTTAGTTGATATTGAAACACACTTGGACAGGGTGTTGCATATGAAGAGAATGCTAAGACAAAAGAAAGGCCTGTAACTTAATCATCACACCATAATTAACTTCATCTTATAGTACTGCACTTGAAAGTATAACGACTTTTATTATGCCACAACAGATATTTACTCTAACTGCCAACCAGAAGTCTAAAACTTTCAGCCTGATAGAGTAATCTCACATTGTAAATTATTTTGGAAACGGTGAAATTGTGGGATGTCAAAAATTGAATATCCTATCTCTCTCCTTACAGTTGTGGCAGCTGGAAATTCAAATAACTTAAAATAATATATCTCATTCTAGTGTCTGCTAGTGATTTCATTTCAATCTCTTTTGCATCAAACAATAGCACAGTGCAGCCAACCTTAACCACAATGGACTAGGTACACTTGCTAACCTAGAGTTCAGATACTGCACTGAAGAGTATGTGATCACTTCTTGTTTAAATATATGAATGAATGAACGCTTAAGGGTGAGCCTTTCTAGCCCTTGCACTGCGATCTTAAATGATCTATTGTGCTTCCCCTTTTTTGTTTAACCCTTTATCAATCCTACACTTCGAAAGAAATGTATGACTTTGTTTTTATTTGAAGATAAGTAATTATATGAAGCAAATACAAATGGGAAAGTAAGCTTCTGTTGAAACTAAAAATTAATGATAAAGGTTTCTACAAAATACAGATAAACTATGCATGTGCTAATATGGTGGCAAGTTTTAAAATTACCTGAGTCACACATTAATAAGTACCACAAATACAATTTTCCTGAAAACTGAAAATCGAACTCCCAAAAACCAATAAAGGAGCGCCGAAAATGATATCATCATCACTAGGTAAATAAAAGCATAACAAAAGAGAAGCATAAGACTTGTGTCAAGATTGAGAACTTCTCTTGATATTTCTTAGATTGGTTAATTCTGTAGCCTTGTAACATGTCTGGGTAGTGACTAGATTCTGTAGCCTTGTAACATGTCTGGGTAGTGATAGTCATTTGGCTTTGACCTCAGTCCTGTTAAGTCCTTATGTGTAATAAACTTTATAATAGGTTTTGCAACTAGAATAGATATATGTCTCATGTTTATTGATTTTATGAGGTTTTACACTGGCTACTTATTGATGTTACTTCTGTTCTCGGGTTGTTATATCACACAGCTGTGGGTGATAGTGTTTGTTTTTCAGAGTTACATGCTGCTCGACCTTCAATGTTGACCCTTTGATCCTGATAAATGAATCATGTACCTCTGAAATGTTGATACCATTGCCCACAACAACATAGTGTAACAACCTAAGAACAGAAGTAAGATTAGCATATTTCATGAGTTTACATTTGTTTTTGCACTCACTGTTCCCTTAAATCTGAACTTTTAGGAGGTAAAAGGTAAAGTTGTCCCTGTACTTAAGTAATTAAGTGCTACGTCATGAAAGTGTATGGNAGGGGAATGGATGTATAGATCCATGGTTTCTTGACCTCGGCATTTGTTACAGGTGAGTGGTTAGGTTCATACCCCGGTCGCTTTATCCCCTGGGAAAATGTCCCAGGTAGCCGGTCTGGATGACACAGAGAAGAGAAAATTCTTGACCTTACCGAGACTTGAACTTCGACCCCTCCATGGTCCAGCCCGTAGACAGTCTCTATGCCGAATATGCTATCCTGGCTCTCATTTTAGGAGGTGGATAATTAAAATGTTTCATTATGACTGCAGCCCTCTGAATTTGAGATTGAATAGTTCAGTAGATGGTTAGCAACTTTTTGGAGGAACCTGATGTCTCAGTCTTCAGGGAAGGATTTTCAACATTCATTGGTGTGAAAATGTCAAATTTCATAAAGCTTTTATCATTGTGAAACAGCGATGGAACATATATAACAGACTTGCTGTGTTTGTTTTGAAAGCCAAGATTTGGCTTATGATGGAGCATCTTCATGATATACTTGTATGGCTTTAAAAGAGTGGGGCAGTTCAGTTGGTGCTTTGACTCCATAAAATGAATCATTCTTTGCAGCATACTCAACATATTGATAACTATTCATACCATTGCTTAGATGATTTGCATTATAATTCTGTCTCAGGAATGCTGGTCCCCTGATTGGATAGAGAATATGCTCCAAAGACACTTTTGTCAAGATTTTATCTGAAAATATAAAGACATGTATAATACAGATTCTTTCATGCACATTCATACACACAAGAGATGTGATTTTGGGGGGAGAGAGAAATAGTACAGAATACTTAATGTTATTGTAACACTTGAACTTTTACTACTTATTTCTATTCACAGTTTTCTGGTGCAGGACAACAATTGAATTAATGTCCTTTAAGTCATAAAATTCTAAGGTATTTTACTGAGTTGAAATATGATGAAGGAATATGTGAATTTACTAGGTCCTGTTATGTATAATGCAGGACATGGTTCTTTAAAAATAAGCCCACTTTAAAGTAGTTGGTTAAGGCAAATTATAATGTGGCAGGAAAGTTTGAGCTTTATCTCTTTCATCACTATTACTGTTCTCTTTAATACTATCTCCAGAATGTTTTCAAAGATCTTAAAAATTGGAGAGATTAACTTCTTTGGAATAAAGACACCTGTGAACATATTGATCACACCTTCTAACGTGACAGCTTGATAATAAATGGTGTTTTCTATGAATGAAGATCTTAAAGGGCCAGTGTTCAGTGTAACACCAGAAAAGAACAATAAATATGCAGTGATTAGAAGTTTGACATTATTCTCATTTAACTCCTGTCAGGATGAAAATTTATGAAATACATGAAGCAAACAAATGAGAAACACACATGCAAACACACATGCACCCACTTACACAAACACACACCCCCTTGGGAACACTTTTGTCATATAGTGATTTACTATATTTAGTTACTGTGTTTGTGCTTAATACTATTTTTGCCAGTTTTATTAGTTTTATCATCAGCAACAGCAGTATGTGATTCAAATTACAAAGGAAGAACATTTTTGGACAGGTAAGCTGATTATTAGAGACACTGCAAATCACATATTTCCACTTATAGCCTGCATGTAGAAGTATAGTTACATTGGGTTTCCATTTACTTTAACTGGTTGGAGAATATTTGCTGGTATGAAGAAAGCAGTCTTCTGGGATGTGGTGTCATGTAGATATTGTGTTAACCGACATTCCTTTGAAACTTCGGCTAACACAATATCTACACAGCGCCACATCCCAGAAGACTGCTTTCTTCATAGTCACCGCCGTGAAAACCTCAAATTTTACATTCGCTGGTTTGATTTTGGGTAGTCATTTCCTTACTAACCCTCTGACCAATTTTCCTGAGGATGATCCTGACCTGACTGCTCTTGATAAGGCGGTTTTCCACATACTATCACGTGTTGGTGACTAGACATGAGGTTTGGTTTAGTAACTGGATTTATTAAACAGTAACACATCACAACTCGTTTTATAAAAGTAATTATAACGTTCTCACTAATTAGCGCACTCTACTTCTCACTACAGCTCACACTCAAGCCTTCTATGTTTTCGCTAGTCGTTGCATATTAATGGATCTCAACAATGAGCTCAACTGTCGACTTGGCTGGTGTTCTTGTTAAATAACATAGGCATGGATCGCATAAAAAATATCACTTCCAAGAATTCTTCTACTGTCGCATGTTTATAAGTTGCTGCGGACAGGTGTTCATCGAACTGTTACCAACCAGTGTCTGTTTTCTTCAGTAATAATGTCATATGCTTCCTCCATAAGGCTGCCTGTTTCCTGTAGCCTATAGGCGTGAAGCCATTTCTTCTCAGGTTCTGTTTGGATGGAACTTCTGAAAGTAGCCTGCGCTCCTTCAGCGCTGGCATGCATGTTGCCGCCAGTTTCTTCTGTAGTTTGGGTAGGGGCCAGCTCCTACACGGTGTTCTGCCACTCATATTCAGAAGCCTGATGGATGACTCAACCTCTATTTTCACGACTTCCAGCTAGAAGGTTTGTCTGAGGGCTTCTCAGAAGCAGCTGCTGTTCTGTGCTTCGGTCTCCCATCCTGTCACTGAATGCCTTGCCTGGTGCCCTACAGATATGATTCTTATGGCATACAGGAAAGGCACAATGAGTAATTCATTTGATGGCAGTCGCGAACTCCTACAGGGACTCACCATCATCTTGAGTCTGTGTTGTCAGCTGATTGTGATACCCTGCAGCTAGTTGCTGGTTCCCGAATCGGTCCTTAGTTGCCCTGACAGCCTCCTCTTATGTTGCTCCTGTAGGAATGCTATGTAGAACCTTCACAGCCCAGCCCTACAGGATGGCAAGCAGTTACATGGAGTTTTTGCGTGGTGCCCAGCTGTACTCTGCCACGGCCTTGAACTAGCAGCAGAACACAGACCAAGGTGTCGACTCATCGACCTTGGGTGGCTTGACTCCACCTATGTTAATTCTGTTCAGTCAGTCAGTCAGTTCTGGTCCTGCTGTAAGGGCCATGCTCAGCTCGGTCTTCGACCTCTGCTAGTCTGGTCTCGAGTCCACTCTGCGTGGTTTCTACCAGGGTCTTCATTATTGCATATCGATTCCCAACTCATGGATCTCCGCCTCAGTCCTTTAGGGACTTCGTATGGAACAAATGATGTCTTTCATGCATTCTACCTTTCCTTGATTGGTTTTCATTACTTCCAAGCCAGTATCCATTTCAGCTCCAATTTTTCTGGGCGGCATTTATCATCGCCTCTGTCTTTCCCAGACAGACCATCATCGTTCGAAATCCACCATGCTTATCTGTCACATATGTTACAATCCAAGCAAGCCCACTTTTGACACCAGCTGTCACATGTTAGTGACTAGACATGGGATTTTGAATTTGTAATATATTTCTTGACACAGTCTTTCTTTTGCCAGAAGAGCTAATGTTTAGAGTGTAGAGGAAAGGACATATTGTGCTCTGATAAGGCAGAGTTACTAAGGAAATTAAATTGTCGTCAGTTTCAAAATGGCTAATATAGACACTGGCTTTCAGCAACAAACTATTTTACAGCACAGTAATGACCAATGTTAACATAAGCCCGCTTCATAAAAATTATCTTTGAACCTGACCTATTGGCAGCACTGTAAGTGTGGTATTTTTGGAATTACCCATGTTGTAAGAGAGAGAAAAAACTGTTATGTACTGTTATAAGTTACCTGCAGAATCCCAAAGTAGCTGGCAGTTAACTCCATTGAAGAGATTGCGAAGAAAATATGAACACACAGCCTAACCATTTATGAAACAAGAGAGACTCGATCATATATTATTTATTTCCTTTGCAATGAAAAATGTGTAAGATGCATGGGTGCAAATAGCATCTTGTCTCTAACAGTTCTTGAAACAACTTTCCTGATAATGATTTTGAGGTTAGCATGTACAGTGGCTGCTGTTCATGGCAGAATTGTCTTATTCCTGTGGCAGTAATTCCACTGACAGCAGTACAAGAACTGGAAGAAAATGAAACATTTATCGAAATCAACTATATATCTCTCGAAGCTGGACATTATCACTTAAAAGCAGAAACAATTCATGCAACTGCGTAGAGAGTGAAAGGGCACTGCCATTGGATTGGGCAGATTTAATTCCCATGCTATGAAGCAGCCACCCATAATCACTGAGCTGGAACAACATCACTTTCTATATTTTAGGGCACTACTAAGAAGTATTTTGTGACTCAGAAGGCTATTGTCTGGCAAAGGATTGGACTGATGCAGTATATACAAAATGTCCGACAATCAAAATTATTCATGTATTATTGAAGTATACCTACTCACCTAAGGAGGGACTTATGACACAGGATCTGAGTAGAAATCAAAGAAGATTATCATGACTTATCAGTTCAGATAAGCCACTACCACCAGTAAACAAGTCACCTCCACTGTCAGAACAGAAGCTGAATAATTTAAAATATATTATTTTTCATACACCCCAACAGTCTATGTTATAACCAGTTCACACAAATACCACATGCAGACCCAAGCACAGAAGACTACATATCAAACGTTGGTAACAGTGATGAGGAAATAAAAAAAACTAATATGCAAATGTAATCTCCAACAGGTAGAAGGAACACTTGAAAACATCTGCCACAAAATATTATTTTCTAGTCATGTGAAGATACTTTGATTTTTAATGCATATATAAGGCACAGTAGATCACTGTGATCACAGTGCAAGGGCCAAGAAGGCCCACCCCTTATTATATATACATATACAATGCATATTTACTGCAGATCAGAAGCGACATATGATTGTATTTATTTTGGGTTATTGTTTATGGTTTCACAAATGAAAGCACAGGTCACAAGCAATAATATGACAGTTTTCACTTGAACAGAAAAGCCTAAAATAACAATACATGAAAATACCCATCTTCATTGTCATGACAGTGGAACAAAATTTCAGTGAAGTACTGTGATTTTGGATACTGGCCCTTTCAGAACAAAGCCACAAGGACTACATATGAGTATAGTTAGAATGTAGACAAAATGATGAATAAACTTAACTCAGTATGCGGTCCTGTTGAAAGGTATCTGAAAAACATATTTTGGACTAAAAGTGGATTTAAGAGGTGTTATCGGGAAGTTCCTAGACTAGGTTAAAAAGAAATGCTGACTTAGCATATTCAATTTTGGCTGTCACCTCCTCCAAAATAGCCTCCTTGGGAATGTATACAGTGATCCCATTGTTTTTTTCCACACTTAAAAACCACTGTGGTAGTCATTTTCTTGAATGTTGTCAAATACTGCTTGCTTTGGATGTCGGACACATTTTCAAAACGTCATCCCTTCAGTTTCATTTTCAATTTAGGAAACGAAGTGAAATGACAGGGCCTAAGTACGGTGAGTAGGGAGAATGAGGAACGATAACCATGTTGGTGTTAGTCACAAGCTCTGTGGTTTTCAGGAATGTGTGCGTGGGTGCATTGTCCTGATGAAGGAGCAGTGTGGCGCATGTTCAAATTTTCTGTTAAGATCTCCTAGCAAACTCCATAACTGATCCCAGCACTGTCTGCAAGCTCATGGATTGTTTGGTGATGGTCTTTGCAGATGAGTTCCTGAATTATTTCTGTCATTTTGCTGGTGCCTGGTCACTCTGAATATTCATCATCTTCAACTGACACTTGACCCACCTTGAAACATGAATGCCATTCAAAAACCACTGTCCGGCTTAAAGAATGTTCTCAAAAAGCCTCACGAAGCATTTCAAGGTTTTTGGTAGCGAATTTACTGAGCTTCACACAAAACTTAATGCAGACACAATGTTTTATTTTGCCATCAATCACAGACAAAACATAACATGACGTTGGAAAAGCACTTGTGTAAAAACAATGCGTGCTCAAAAGGCGGTGTCACTTGAGAGACGATGTAATAGGCTTTAGGAGGTGTGACCTTGGCCGCCCCTTTCATCTTCTTTCACCGAGGCAGTTACAACAATAACAGTCCGGGAACTTTCCGATATCACCTGTATATTAAAGACAATTATATTTATTTCTGTACTTCCATATGTGTGTGATTTTCATGACTAGAAAATTGACAGGGAAGCAATTTATGGAAATGGGATTTCTAGAACATAATGAAAAAATTTAATCACCAGCACATGTTGAAGATTGAGCATGTGAGCCAGAGCATAGATAAATTCTCCACTGAAGAAAAAAGTTTTTAAGACTATAGAGAAATATTACAAGAATTTCAGAAGATGAAAGGTGACAGAAGTCATACTGAAGCGGTCCTCCACTATGAAGCTGGAATAGGTTGGAGACAAACTCTGTAAGGTATGAGCAGAAGTGCAACATGGAAAAAGAGAATCAGAGGAAGAACATTTGACTAAGAAACAGGAATACAATAATTTCATATATATTAATGTGGAATGTTTATACATAAATATGATACATAATACATACTTGGTGTGTTGCCTATGCAGATAACATTCTCATTTGAAGTGATGCTTCTCACTAATGGCAAAGGCCAGGACAGAGGGAAATACAGATGAAATTGAATGGGCCGCCTATCCCCCAAATTAATTCTCCTCCACACCTCATTCTCATTTTCCAAAAGTTTCAATGCACCAACATATTGCTGCAATATACACATATTTGGCTTTCTTTAGACTTCATAATATGTGGACATATAATAATTAATTTAACATTCTGCTACCATTAATAATGAACATTTAAGAATTTATTTTGATATAATACATAAATTTTACAATCCATATACTCCTTCTTTGGAAGTTACTTACACAAATTAACAGATTATTTGCCACTTACTGTGGTAAGCCTAGACTGTGGAATTAAAACTGTATATCCTTGGAAGAAGTAACATATGTTTTACTTCAATAATCTCCATCTGATTGGAGTAGGTAGTCAAATTCAGAAATGTATCACTTATTCTTAGGTAATTTATCTTTGTCTGAAATATCTCATATAGAGACTTCAAGTCCACAACAGTTGGAATATTTCACATACGCAAAAATTTTACACATCATTGCTACCTAAAAATATAGATTTTATTAACACTGTCTTATCACGCTAATTACACAACATATTATGTAACCCTCATGTTAGTTTTTTCTTTTCACAGAATCACCATAGTGAAGGAGACAGATCTTAAAGCTTTTGCAAGACATTTTAATAGCATACATTGATTTATACAAATTTCCTCAACAGGAACTGTGAATCAGATTATCAGGATGTACTTTAGTGACAAAACTTTTGTATTAAATTTTAGTGATAATCAATTTTCAGATCCAGAAATTTTGCAAAAAGTGACAGAGTGGGAATACAAATTTGATTCATAAACTAGTAATACTTGAACAGCAAATGGAAATGTAGATATATTTATCCACACTGCAGGGCTTATTTTAACAAGTAATAATGAATATTGGGAAGCACTCATAAATTCTGCTTTCACATTTCACAGATTTCCAGTCATACAAATCTTGTGTTGTTACTATTTAATGCCATATGTAGGTAACGTAATTTTATGATCCAACAATGTATCTTAAGGATTAGCGCATACTGTTCATGCTTAGATTGTCCTATGATCAAATTCTAGTTGAATTAGAAATCTTTTAATTCTTGCAACTGTAAATATTTCATCTTCACAATCATTGTCACTTCAGGAAGAATTATCAGTAAATACAGATTCTGTTTATATTAAATTTACTGGGCATAATCTCAAAAGTGTTGTGTCCTCAGGTTTGTAATTATTATATTATAAACAATATTTCATACAGAAATTTGTGTGTGTGTTGGAGATACAGTGTTACCAGAACTTACTGGCATAGCAATTTGCAGTTTTGCCACTTCAAAAAGAAACGAGGTGATATTGGAAATGGATGTTTGTATGCGTATAATATTGTATGATGAAAGAATTCACATAAATAAATTTTTTTATTCAATGAACTTACGGCTCTAACCACTTGCATGAATACCATGAAGTTGAGTTTATAACATGTTTCTGATCTATCTCTATACCAAAAATTAAATGCCTAGTTCCAATTGTTCATTACTTTTTGCCATTAAGTCGAAATTTTAATTTAGAATTCATGCAGCTCCAATCGAAATTTTAATTTAGAATTTATGCAGCTCCAATATTACTTCTTTACATTTTACAAAAACCTATCTTAAAAAGTTGCAAATTTTTGGAAAAGTTATTACTATCATTTCAGGACACTATAATAAGTGGTGCTAGTGTAGTTGTATCTCGTAAGTTTTGGCGCCTGTCATTGTGTTATACTGGTTGTAATAATTGAAATATATAGGGTTGGAGTGGCCTCCAATAATATAATGATCCTAGAAAATTTCGTGAAAATTGGCTATTCAGGTGTACAGTTGAAAAGTAGGACAGACACATACATACAGACCATATGCTGAGCTAACACGCATAATCCATTTCTCAAGAACATAAAGTACATTGAAAAGGAAATATATGCTAAACCAAAATGATGAATAAAGACCTTACTTAAAATGGCCAAATGAAATTTGATTTCAAAATGTTTTTCTTTCTTCACAATAGTTCATGTAAATGGATTTTTTTCCTTCTTAACACACCTCATATCAGCGTTCATGTGCAACAAAATTTCTTTGCATACTTCAAGTTTTGTATTGATCTGAGTAATCTTTCAAAATCACATTACATCAATATTCTCATAGTACATACAGGGGATGGACAAAAATATCGAAACACCCAACAAAAAACACATTACCGTGACTAATATGGTGTAGGACTACCTGTGGCTTGTAGAACTGCTTGCAGTCTCCTTGGAATGGATAAATAGAGGTCCTGTATGATTTGCAAGGGAGTCTTGTACCATTCTTCCTGCAAAACATTGGCAAGTTCTGTTAATGATGATGGAGGTGGATAGCGTGCACACAGATTGCTCTCCAAAACAGACCACAAAGGCTCAATAATATTGATATCTGGCGATTGTAGGAGCCATGGAAGATGTGACACTTCATCTTCTTTATCAGAAAACCAGT